TTCCATTATAAAGCTAATTTGCATATCATCTAGGCAAAGTTTTCTCTGGCTGATGGGAGATGGTGATCAACAGTTAGCTTTATTCACATTGTCTCTTCTACATTGTGGGCAGAATGACCAGTGTGTTCTTCCCTGTCACTCAACCTTAACCTGTCCCAAGGAATCAATTTAATTTAACCTCATTATATCTTTGTAGAGAACTTTGATCTATTTTTTATAGTAAGCAAACTGAATATATTGGTTGCATTTAATCTAAAGAAAGTTTTCCAGAGGTACTTTACTTTATAAAAGCTTATTGGAAAATATTTGTGTCAATTGAATTATGATTTAAATTGTTTAATGCGCCATCACATGAGCACAAATTGGGACTGGCAGATGCTGGACATCACTAGGAGAGGGAGGGAGGAGGGATGGGGAATACACGGCAACACACTGGGTACCAGGTCCACTATTGAGGGGGGAGAGAGTTCTCTAGAAGTCTAAACTTTACCTGCACGCAACTTACTGATGTAGTAAATTCTCACATGTACCTCACAACTCTAAAATACAATAAAAGTAAATGAGTAAAAAAAAATGTGATACAAATCTATTTAGTGTAGCTTATTAAAAGGTTTTGTGCTGAATATTTTTTAAAACCACCAGTTATACCCTATTTATTTTTAATATGTGGGCTTTTTAGCTTTATTAGTGTAGGGTATACTTGTGAGATTTCTGTGAAAGAAGTACTAAAAATCTTAAAGTTAGTGACTTTCTTATTGTTAAAATGTGGATAACTAATTCACAGTCATTTGAGACTAGCTCTTAGATTTGTACACTGAATCCAGGGTGATAAAAAATAGGATAGAAACATTTTTCTTTTTCCTAAATACCACCTGGTAGATCCAAGTAGACAACTTCTAACTTCCCTTTTCTGTATTCTTTTGAATTGTGGCCCCTTTTGCAAGTGAAGAAAGAAACAAGCTACTTAAATCTCCGAAGTTTGAATATACATTCAGGCAGTAATTCTGCATTCTGATATTTGTTTATGCGAATATAGGCAGAACATTTCTGCACAACAAAGTATTCCTCTAAATTACTCTATGTGAAAGCAATTAGTGTGATTGAACTGACAAAACAAGCAATGAATACAAGAAAGAATATTGGTTCTTATTGTAGAAGGTGATATATGGCATGAGTGCGTGAGAGAGATTTATATTCGGTAAGATGCGAGATAGTCATTTTAACTAAATGTATGTGAGAAAGGGATACACAGATGATAGAAGAAGTGAGAGGCAGTTTTGATAAACTCTGATGATACTTGAAATCAGGGCTTAAAGATGACAGTTACAGTCTTATCAGGTTCCCCAGTAAGAGTGATTTTTGTTTGTTTGTTTATTTTGCTTTAAAAGCACAGTGGTGAGAAAATTCCTCTTTATCCTGAGTAGTGATGCATTTTGTTTGACCAACTTTCTATTACCCAGTATGAGTTGGGTGTGAATTTTTACAAAAATATTGGAAAGATATGCTTTCCAATTAATGATATATTTACAAGATATTCAAATATTTGCACAGAAAAGGCTAGAAGAGAATCTTTATTATGCGCCTTGCACAGAACCCACTTAATCTGTTATTATTCACACACCATTTTATGAAGGTACAAGCAATGGACTTGTCCAGCAGTTGGGCCAATAGACAGAGTGAAGAACTGTTGACATTAGGGGCAGAGAAGTCCTCCCCACAAGAAAGTCTAGGGGGCTTCAGTTCCTTCTATCTATTCCTTTTGATCTTAGAATTGATAGGGTATTGAGGTGTTGTTACTGACGGTACAGACCTGGAAACAGCAGGGTTCGCTAAAATCGTCATTTCTTGTGTGTGGCAGAAACGAGAATAGGATGTTGCTTTTTAGGAGTGAGCATTCATGAGAAGACTGTTTCCTGGCTAAGATGTTGCAGTGCATTTGATTCCATTTCTTTGTTAGGAAATGATTAGTTGGGGGGGCAGTGTTACTCTATTGTGTCAGAATTTTTTTTTTTTTTTTTGTACTTGAGTTTGCGCACTAGATTCTGACTGCGGCAAGGACTGCAGACCTGGTAAACCAATAGAAAAGAGCCAATGTCTTGTCTGTGATTGGTTCAGATCAGAGACTTCCAGCTGCCTAGCAACTGGGCTTGGAGAAAATGAGTAACAGCCTAGATTAGGACTGGAGACAGGAAGTGAGAATGCTGATTGGACATCTGCATTTGTACTAAACAGGTTTTGAGCATGACCACTAAACCTGTGCATTTTGAGAGGCTTTCGTCACAAAGGAGCCTGCACAGAGGAGGTGGCTGTTGTACACAGAGGTCTGGGTACAAGCACAAAGATGTCTGTATGTGAGTGGCTGTACAGGGGGTGAGGAAGATGCTGTGGGGGACTTCCTGAGCTAGCTGGATGGAAGTGAACTGTGCAGGTACCTATAGCTGACTTAGGTCAAGCCTAGCTCTGGTTGGCATTAGAGCTTTTTTGAACTACCTGCACCACTGCCTGGAATCCATAGTGTTCCCAGACTAACCAAAAGAGGACATCTTGACAGTGAAGGTAGGTTGCAAGCTCAGCAATGACTTCATTTGTGATGTAGGAAGATTTTCAGTGCTTCCTGTCGGACCCTGGTTGAAACTGAAGTCAAGGGAAGAGAAAGTGGTAATATAGTCTTAGAGCTGCAAAGAACCTTTAAAGGTCGTTTAGTGTAATTCCTATATCTCAATTTTGAAATTCCCAATTAAATCATCCTTCCTCTGCTTGAGCATCTCCAGGACTGAGGAACTCAGTGTTTCCTGATATAGCCCCTTAAGTCTCTTGCCATCTTCAATAGATAGCTTTTCCTCATATTGGACTGAAATCTGCCTCTTTGGGTACAGATTTTCTTGGCAAATCACCTCCTGCTAACATATGGCGCTCTTTTTAATCATTGAAAACAGTTCTCATATCTCATTTAACCCTTCTGCTTACTTAGCTAAGTCTCTTTGAATCCTTTGTTGATTTGGGGGCTCCTGTTCCTTTTCTCCTTTCAACAATGCAGGTTGCCAGGGTACCAAAGTGTTGTAAGTGTTTCTGGTGCAGTTCGACTACTTGTTCCTTAAGCTGAACATTATTCCTCTATTAACTGTATGACATTTATGGTAAGATTGAATTGTTGACTCACTCAGAGTTTCCAGACAGTCTAAATCCCGCTGAAAGATTCCCAAATGCTGCATCACCAAGAGTTATAGGGATAACCAGCTCTTCCAACCAAAAGTATTTCAGTGACTGAAAATTAGGTCATGGTGACACAGGAAGGAATAAAATGGAGGGTAGAAAGTTACCTGATGTTGTTTTTGTTGAGAAGTTTAGTGTCTGTTTTTCTTTGATATATCTCTAGATTATAGATTTGTTCATTTGTTGATATAGATTATTCATTTGTTATTTCACATGGTACCTGAGAGATCAAGCCCAAGAAAATATGGAAAAGTTAATAGGATTGAGGAATTTTATTAATCAAATACATTGCTCACACTAAATCAGAAGTGAGCTTGAAACTCTTTCTCTCGCCTTCCCCACCCCTCTCACCCTCTCCACCCCTCGCTCTACCAGAGTATTAAGAATGAATGATACTGCCTGCAAATAGAGGAAAAGAGAACCTGGTCACTTAAAAATATAGCATTTTGATTTTTTTCTTTCTCTAGATTAAAAAATGTAATTGACAAATAGTAGTTATATATATGTATGGGGTACAATGTGACGTTTTAATATATATTTACATTGTGGAATGATTAAAACAAGCTAATTAACAAATTCATCACCTCACATACTTAATCTTTTTTTGTGGTGAAACATTTAAATCTATTCTTTTAGCAATTTTGAAATATGAAATGCATTATTATTTATTATAGTCACCATTCTATGCAATAGATAACTAAAACTTAGTCTTCCTTTCTAACAGAAATTTTGTACTCTGTGATCAACACTTTCCTTTTCCCCATTCTTCTAGATTTTAACTAATAAGTTTGTTTACTACATGGATTAAAAAGTGTAATATATTCTGCATCCCATTAATTAAATAATAATCCCCAATAAAATATAAAGAATATGTGATTTGGCCAGATATATTCTTCATATGGTTGAATGAGAGTAGGATCCAGTGCAAAGTTGCCTTTTGAGAACATTCACATTATTGATGGATTTATACAATCTGCACACATCACAGTGATCCTCATTTACAATTATGTAATTGCTCCATACAAGGTCTAAACTAAAAATTATGACAAAATGGGTGACATTTTTTCATTTGTACAGTAGGAATAACAATAATATTTGCTCTGCCTACCTCATAGGGTTATTTTGCAGATGAGTAAGAAAATACATATGGATGCACATAAATTTAATGTGATATACAATTGTGAAGTATTGCTATTATTCATTGTAATAATAAAGATAAGTTATTCTTCAGGTGTGGAAATTAATTAATGTTTTATTTAATATGAATGCATTTATTCCTTCAGTGAATTGTAAAAACTATGGATTTTATTGTACAATCTTATTTTTGGATAAAATTTGCAGACATCTTTGATATGCCTCAAAAAAATAAGGGAAATTCTGCTTAATTGGATTCCAACTTTTCTTTTTTTTTTTTAATTGGTCATTTTTCATGAGTGTAAAAGGTGGTTAACCCAGTTCTGAAATAGCTTTCAGATGACAACTTTGTAACATTTCACTTGTGAGGCAGTTGTATAGATGTTGTAGTCCAAGTATCTATAGATAAAGAAATATATATTTTGACACTAGGAATTTTCCAAAACATTCTGTAATCATCCTAGATAACAGGGAGATGGGAACGTTTTTATGGTACAATTTATTTTCCCCCAGATTGAAGATAAACAAATTGGCCCAATTGTTAAAATAATGAATAACAGAGAAATGAGCATTGCAGCTTGCAGAGTAAAATGGGTTTTGATTCTGAAGCACACAGGTGTTCATACAATGACTTTGATATTGACTCTCTTAAGGAACACTTGAAGAGACATAATAGAGGAGCAATTTGAGGCTCAGTAAATTGCCCAGGTGCCAATGAAAAGGGAGGCACACAGTATTCAGCTTGTGTTCAGGGTAGAAGACTTGGATTCTCTACACATTATGAGCAGCAAGAGAAGAGGAAAGATGGTGATGGGAGGAAAAAGAGAATATCTGCAGGTAACTACTTGGAAAGTATTTTAATTTTGCAATTTTAAAATCATGTCTTTAAGTGTCCATCTTGCATGAATAGATTAAGAAATTTTGGTGTATATATACAATGAAAAACAATTCAGCCTTAAAAAAGAAGGAAATATTTTCATTTGTGACAATATGGATGAGCCTGGAGGACATTATATTAAGTGAAATAAGCCAAGCGCAGAAAGTCAAATATCACATGATCTCACTTATATGTGGAATCTAAAAGAAGTTGAACTTACAGAAGTAAAGGATAGAATGATGACTCAGGGGCTGAGGGAGAGGGGAAATGGGGAGATATTTGTCCTGGATATAAATTTTTAATTATGCAAGATGAATAAGTTCAAGAAATCTGTTTTACAGCATGGTAACTACAGTTAATGATATATTGTATTCTTGACAATTGCTAAGAGAGTAGATATTAAGTATTCTCACCATAAAAAATGATGTGTGTTAGGTAGTACGTATGCTAATTAGTTTGATTGAACTATTTCACATTGTATAAATATTTCAGTATGACATCATGTATATGGTAAATATGTAAGATTTTTTGGCCAATTATAAATAAATAATTACATACATAAATAAAATTTTTTTAAACGTATTACTGTTGATAGGGGACAATTAATCTGTGAAATAATCACTGTGAGTCCAAAGGGAGATGCATGTGATATAAAATGAGACCTGAAAACCTAAACTAATTTGCCAGGGGGCAGAATAAATTTTGACGAGGCTTCGATGTCTTTCCATGCCTGGATGAACAATTTGCTGAGATGGAATTTCAGAGGACACAAGAAGATTAGCTTTGTATTTGATTCAGGGTATTAAGGGCTTCCCAAAGAGATTAAATCAAAACCTGATTACAGTCCACTAATACTTTATTAATGTAGCAGACATTTTTGCTTTTCAAGTTTTTCATTTAAACGTATGTTCATGAATATTATTAAACTCTTTGGGATTATGGATTTTTAAAAAGCCTTGTTTGCAAAGCCGCATTATTCAGTTCACTGCAGGAACTCAGAAAGCCCTCAATACATCTACCCCACAGTTCTCCTTCTTACGTGGGGGATTTAAAAAGATAAAGGGATCTGAAACAGCTTTGGGAGAGGAACTTGGCCAAAAGGAAGAGAGATGTTTGCAATTGCTCCCTCACCTTTGCCATCTCATCCTCTCAGTCCCCTCCCTGGATCCCTTGGTGATGATTATTTTAGGGACAGGACATAGTAGTTATCCCTGGGGGAAAACTTAGATTCAGCCTCTCTAGTGGGTTTGCCAGGGTTCCCGATCTGCAATTGTAAGCTCCCCTTGCTCTGGCTCCTCTCAGTCCTTTGGGTTTTTCTCCCGCTCCCCATCAGTATGCTGCTGCCTTTGCCTCCAGTGCTCTCCTCAATTCTGCTGTTCCAAACTCATCTCATCTGTCAAGGCTCATCTCAAATGCGTTCCTATCATCCCTTCCACCACAAGCAGGAAACAAAGTTTTCAGCAATGTCTGCTATTTCCAGGTCTGCATAGACAGTAGCAAAATCTCAAAATCCTATCAAATCCAAGGTCAAGAGGAGGAGGTGAAGAGAAAAAAAGCCCCTAGAGTTTCTTGTGGGGAAGGGTTTCTGTTTCTAACATCAATAATCTTTCAATGTGTCTATTGAAAATATACTGCTGGGTATAGTCATTTGCTTGTATTCTCACAATGTGGGGCGTGAATACTGCCAGATTAACTGAGCTCTGTGAAAACCCCATAATAAAGGTTATCTTGCCTTTTCTGTGCAAATATCTTGCAAAATTTTCATTGATTAGGAAGGCTGCTTTTCACTTTTTTGGTAAAAATTCATGCCCCACTCATATTAGTTAATGTAAAATTAGACAAGCAAGAATGCATGACTTTTCTGGGCGATTGGGAATTTTCTCACCACTGTGCATTTAAAGAAGAATAAAGAGAAAACACTCTTGCTGCAAAAGCTGGTAAGACTGTAGCTTTTAGCCTTAGCCCTGATTTTGGGTGTTGAGTTTGTCAAAATTGTCTCTTCTCTATCTCTCGTCTGTGCATTTCTTTGTCATATATGCCTAGTCAAAATGTTCTAATAACTAATTGTACAGGTATATATTTGTAAAAAGATGTGAATTGTCATGTCAATATTACACAATTCATGACTTTGAGTACTAAGATTTTTTCATTTATTTCAACTCTTTATATGTTCTTTTCTACATACACCTAAGCATCTTATGGGTAGAAGTTGCATTTCCTTTATTTGTTGTGTCCCATGGAAATCTAGTACAGTGCTTTGTATTGGGATGTCTAGTCAATGATTGAGCATATGAAGGACAGAATCAGCAAGTATGTGTTGGTACATTTGCACAGTCATGTGGTGTAACAGTGACAAGAAATAGACAAGCCAATACTTAGGCAGAACTGTCTTCAGATTAACACCAATACAAAGCACTGAGGAGAATAATTAAAAGAACAAAAAAGGACCCAAACAAATAGACCAACAGCTCTCTCTAGTACACATCATTGCATATTAGGGAAGCACGTATTGATAATTACTAAAGAATTTTTTTTAAAGAAAGGCTTTTTAGTTACCACACACTCCTGAGTATGAAGCAGGTGGCTATTAGTATTTAGGTGACCTTTGCTGACTCTTATTTCCTCAAAAAACAGATGAGAAACTAAAGAGATTGTGTAATCAACCAGTGGCCTGTGACACTCCAAATACTCTTTTGTTTAACACAAGTCTGTTAATGAGGCATCTGATTGCTCCTACCAGATGTGTGGATTGTTCCAGAAATCAATCACTCCATTCAACTAGGATCCTCCTGAGTTAATTTGGTCCTTTAACTATCTCATTCTTTGTGTGCTGAAATCAACAGTTGAAGAGGCATCAAATAAGCTCTCCAAAGCCTGCTATACCAAAAAAAAAAAGAAAGAAAAGAAAAGAAAAACACAACAAAGTGAGAATTAGTTATTTTAATTCTTTAACACAAAATGAGAAGTTTCTGATAAATTTGCGAAAATGATAAAAGTTTGAATTGCTGTTGACATAATTTTCTTTATTATATATAACAATAGAGGAAGACAAGTCTCTTTGTTTTATTCAGCATTAGAGAAAATGCTTCTTTGTTCATCAAGAAAAGGGAAAATCAGGACAGATGCCACCTTTTCAACTACTAGTCCCTTTCAGGATAGTAAGAAAAGACCAGGATTCCAGAGTCTTTGTGCTAATTACAGTCTAAGCTACTAATTATCAGTACAATATGGGACAATTCTTCCACTTTGGGCCTCAATCACCTTGTTAATAGATAAAAGAGTTGGACCAAATATCTCTGGGCCCTTCCAGATTGGAGCATCTGCAACTCTGTGAAACACTTTTACCTTTATTGCTGTATATAGTGTCATTTTGGATTGATAACAAATAGGGAAATAAAAACCATACCCTTTTGGGCGATATTCATTCAGCTTCTAGAGTTGTGCTGTCCAGTTCAGAGGACGTGCTGCACATGTAACACATACACTACATTTCTAAGACAGTATGAAAAAATTGCAAACTATCTCATTTTCTATATTGATTACATGTATGAATGACTATATTTGGATATGTTTGGCTATATAAAATGTGTTATAAAAATAAATTTACCTGTTACTTTTCACTTTTTTCATGTGCTATCCTGAAAATTTAGTATTACATCCATGGCTCCTATTATAATTCTGTTGGATGATCTGGTTTAAGGAGTTACTTCTGCTGCATGTGACTCGAGTTCCAATTATTCAGAAACCTCCCAAGATCAAAACCACCCAAATTAGTGGCACTTAGCCTTAGATGCATACTAGAATCACATTAGCATCTTAAAACTGTACTGACCCCTTTTTTCTTACGATTCTAATTCAACTGAATCTTAGTGAACTTTCTTCTAGGACCTGGATTTTTTTCATAAGGTCATGGGTGGTGTAATCATAAAGAAATAAAGCCCTGTTATTTAGGAATGCCAGAAACTCGTATAAGTCCAAGTTGGACGACTGCTGGATGAAGGGTGAAAACAATGCTGAAACAGGCTTCGGCCTGACTTAAACAGTTTCAAGAGCAAAAAGCCCTTCTCCTTAGCTCTTCAGTTCTTAAAAAATCAAGCAAACACACAGAAAACAGTAACTTGAATTAATTATGTCTTAGCTGTTGCTTCTTGTTTGAGTTCTGAAAATCAGCTTACTGCATTCCCATCTGGCCTCCCAGGGAGATAGTTGGCATTACTGGGTCACTTTTCAGAGGGAAAAATGGGGCTCAAAGACTGATCCTCAACTTGGTTAAGAAAAATTCTTGCACCAGATTTTTTTCCTAGTTAAAGGGATAGATTTATTTATTTGTTTATTTATTTATTTATGATTCCTAAGGGAACTAAGGAAGAGAACATAGATAATGTAATTTGATTGGAGTTGGATTGATCTCTAAAATGGAGCAAGCAGCTATCAATTTCATGTCGATTTCTGGTAACACAGGCTGTATTTTTTACCTCACTCTCAAATTTTGGGTGTCACCCTCACTGAGCCCTACCATCCCCATGTGCTTATTTGATCTACAGTTATTTCTGGTTGGGCTCTATCATGAGACTTAGATAAGAAGGGAAGCTGCTTCTTTCTTTTCCTAATAGTTCTTTTGGCTGTCAGAGCTAATAGATATTTGTCCAACTTCTATGGATGACTAAATTTGGAGTCCTGGTAATGAATTTGGAAGATTTTTAAATTACTAAAAATACTAGACTTTTAAATTAGACTCTACTGAGCTGTGTCTTAGGATCTTGGTAAGTTATAGAACTTCTCAGCTCTACAGGTACTTGACAAAGAGTTGTTGAGTTATTGTGATCATCAATGTCTATATTTGGTGTTACATTCAGTGTTGGTTATCTTATCAAGTCAGTGGAGAGTTGATAAAAGTTTCAATAAATAATCCTATGTATCTACAGTGCCTTGAGGTTTTACCGTTCCTCTGCCTGAGATT